AAAAAAAGAGCGAGAAACACGTGTGAAATAAAACAGAATTATATAAATGTAAATGTACAAGTCAAAATAAAAGAGAAAAAAGGTCATGAGGAAAACAGTGCAGCTGTTGTTTGATTGACAGGACTCAGGATTATCTCTGACATAATCCAGAAGTGTTTTTGAAACGCAGCTGAATAAAAATCCTGCCGTGGGTTTAGTTCTTTCCAGAAAAAACACGAGCTCCACACCGGACGTTTGGATTCAGGATTTAACTGACAACGTTTAGGGTTCAGGTTAAAGGTCAGGACCAGGCTCCAGGAAAAAAAAGCTGCACTGTGGAACTTTTTATTTTGGGGTCCGTCACCTGCTGGTTTCTATGGAGATGTCATTACTCTGCCTGAAATGTTCCACAGTGTGACATTAAACAGCAGCTTGACTTTATGGTTATTCAATTACAGGTGTTTTTTTTTTTATTTAAACCACAAAAATCCCCAGAAAAACAAACATTCAGACTGTGAGTGTCGCCTCTCCACAGATCTGACCTGGAACTGGGTCTGGTTTGGTTTCCATGGAGATAGAAAGGTTTAATGCCATACTGTGGAACATTCCAGACAAAGCAATAAACCAGGACTAAACCAGGACTAAACCAGGTCTAAACCAGGACTAAACCAGGACTAAACCAGGACTAAACCAGGACTAAACCAGGTCTAAACCAGGAAAACTAAACCAGGTCTAAACCAGGACTAAAACCAGGACTAAACCAGGTCTAAACCAGGTCTAAACCAGGACTAAACCAGGTCTAAACCAGGACTAAACCAGGTCTAAACCAGGTCTAAACCAGGTCTAAACCAGGTCTAAACCAGGACTAAACCTCAAAATTCCCTAGAAAAACTGACATTGAGACTGTGAGCGGAGTCGCCTCTCCACAGAGCTGACCTGGAACTGGGTCTGGTTTGGTCTCCGTGGAGATAGAAAGGTTTAATGCCGTACTGTGGAACATCTCCATGAAGAAAAGCATTTGATGAACCCTGCACCAGAAAAGTTACACAATTCAACTTGAACGTCCAACCACAAATGATGGAAACGTCTAACCTGTGTGTGTGTGTGTGTGTGTGTGTTTGTCGGTGTGTGTGTGTGTGTGTGTGTGTGTTGTGTGTGTGTGTGTGTGTGTGTGTGTTTGTGTGTGTTTGCGTGCGTTTGTGTGCAGTTGGAGCGTCCGTCGTTCTCCGTGGACTGCCTGAGCCTGAGGAGACACCGAGGGGACATGAAGACAGACTGCGTCCCTCTCAAAGGTGCCGCTCTCCTCGACTTTATCTCCAGATTCAGGATTTTTAAAGCATAAAAGACTGAAGTTTTGCTCCACATTTCACAAATAATAATCACACAGTTTTGACTTGGATCTAAAAGAAGTTTGACTGATGCCTTCAACGCTCACAGATTTATATCCTGTGGTCCTCAGACAAGTCCCACTGCAGTCTTTGTGATCGGAGATTTAAAATCTCTTCAGATTCTCCTCGTGTCTGTGGTGTGTGCACTTTTTGTCTCACGTTTAAAAAACTCTTAGGACCAAAAAATCCTGGAGTGTGTGTCGGCCTTAAGCTGTTTTTAATTTTACATTTCAAATGTTTTATCGCGCTGATGTTTCAGAGTTTGACCGAGCCCGAGCATAAGTTCAGGTTTGGGTCCCGTCAGATTTCAGTCGGGTTTCCACGCTCTAGTCCAGGGGTGGGCAAACTTTTTGGCTCGCGGGCCACATAGGGTCCTAAAATTTGACTGAAGGGCCGGACAGAAGACAGGACATAACGTGTTAAGAGCTCGGCTTCATTACATTTGTATTTACGCGTATGTAGGTCGTGCACTACGCGTCACGAAAGATTCAGAACACAAAAAAGTGTATAGATCTGTTCCACTGCACACCACAGGAGAATGTAAATCGTGAACTAACCGTTCTCGAGTCTAACTGAGAAACGGCTCGAAAACAAGGCTCACGTGACACACTCACACACGTCCACACCTGCGCGTGCAGTAAAACCAGACTCTAAGACGTTCCATGCATCAAGAATTACAACATAGCATCAATAAATCTTCCATGTTCAATTTTTACCAAATTAAAATGGAAGCAGTGCAACCTTATATCTTGAACACTTCTACTTCACTCATGGTCCGAATAACTCCTGTAAGAACACTTTCCCATAAAGCATTGCAGCCAACATAATACACTGCACCTCAATGTATATATATATATATATATATATATATATATATATATATATATATATATATATATATATATATATAGTGCGCCATCTACTGGGAAACGCCGGAAATACTTGACAAAACATCAACAAGGTTTATTATTGTAATTTATTCCAGTTCGGCGGGCCAGATTAAAAGGTTTAAAGTAGAGCCCGACCGATATGGATTTTGCTGTGGCCGATATGAAACCGATATAATGTGAGTTGGAGCTGCCGATATAATCACCGATATATTTAGTGATGTAAAAATTCACTGTAAATGTTGAATTGTTTAAAAAACTTAGGTTTGGCTCTGGTGGATTTTAAATTGGGTTTATTTAGGAAACATTTATTGTTATTCTGCCTCTTTACATCATATTTACAGACAGTAGGTTGGCACTAGTGATGTTTATTCCAGTTCTTTTTAGAGAACCGGCTCTTTTGGCTCGGCTCACTAAAAGCTGCTGGTTCTTTTGGCTCCCAAGTGGCTCTTCAGATTGTTTTGTTGCAAGCAGGTCTAAAGCACGTCTAAAGCAGGACTGAATCAGGACTGAACCAGGACTGAAAAAGGACTAAACCGGGACTTATTTATTTTATGCTAAACTACAGTCAAATATGCTTGTTTTTTTTATATATTTTTTAATCCTACGTACAGGCAAATTTCTCAAAGTTTCGTTTTCAGCCGCTGCTGCTGTCAAACCACGAATCACGCGGCGTGAAGAGAAAAAAAGTGAGAGAAAAAGAAAACACGGCTCCCAATAAGGATCAGGCTCCCGTCGTTCCCTTCAAAGAGTCGGTTCTAAGAGTCATTTCGTTCGCGACCGGACCCATAACTAGTAAAGAAACTAGCGCTATTAGCCTTTAGCCGTAAATACGTGCGCGCCGCGGTAATTAATTATATGCGCAAATGTCATAATTCACACGTCTGTTCACAGCTCATTTACATATCAGTGCAGGTCCAGTAGCAAATATACGGCCAATATAATCACTTTAGAACAGACCAATAGAAAACAGTCTGTTTATGTGCGGAGCTACAGCAGCTAACCCATAACAAATGACAAAAACTAGCTTCAGAGTCGACATATTTCCAACACTCACCGCTCACACAGGCTCCTCCCACATCACAAATCTGCACTAATAAATGTCCTTTTAATCCAGACTCAAACCGATTGTCCGTAAAAAGAAAATAATCTCAGTGTTTGGATCTGTGTCTAAAGGTGTAAACAAACACACTTGAGTGACGCGACTCTGTGGTGTGTTCAGGGACAGTACGGACACACACACACAAATGACTCCGTAGATAAATACTGATGTGGAGCCACATATTTGGACATTTATCTGTCTGTAAATTGGATTAAATGAACAGAATGTAGAGAGTCTAAGTTTTATAACGAGGTATAACCTGCCCACGTGAAATATCGGCCCCTATCAGCAAGCATATCGGCCGATAGCCGATATGCCTAAAGTTGCCCATATCAGCCAATAATATCGGCCAACCGATATATCGGTCGGGCTCTAGTTTAAAGGGCCTCATACGGCCCCTGGGCCGTAGTTTGCCCACCCCTGCTCTAGTCTGTTTGTGATGAGGAAACTACATGAGAACAGAGCACAGTGATATGGGAACTTTAAATAGCAAAAAACAAACAACTGGAAGGACAGTAGTCAAAAAGAAGAAGTTTTAAACCTTAGGAAGTGAGATTCTAATTGTGCTCTGCACTTTCTGCTCTCAGCTAATCTAATTAATCTGAGCTTTTTTTTTTTTTAAACATCATCAGGATAAATAAAGAATGTTGAGATGTTCGTTTTGCTCCTGGTTCCAGTTCGTCCGTGTTCTTCTGATGCTGGAGCTCGTGTCTGGTGTTTTGTGTTTGTGCAGAGCTGAAGCTGCAGGAGCCTGTGCTGACCTGCGAGCTCTGCGGAAAGGTGGACTTCACCTCGGCCTTCAAGAGGTCCAAGAGGTTCTGCTCGACGGTCTGTGCCAAACGGTGAGTGCAAACATGTGCCCGGTCTGTGTCCGGTCTGTGTCCGGTCTGTGTCCGGTCTGTGCCAGGTCTGTGCCGGTCTGTGTCCGGTCTGTGTCCGGTCTGTGCCAGGTCTGTGTCCGGTCTGTGTCCGGTCTGTGTCCGGTCTGTGTCCGGTCTGTGCCAGGTCTGTGCCCGGTCTGTGTCCGGTCTGTGTCCGGTCTGTGCCAGGTCTGTGTCCGGTCTGTGTCCGGTCTGTGTCCGGTCTGTGCCGGTCTGTGTCCGGTCTGTGCCAGGTCTGTGCCAGGTCTGTGTCCGGTCTGTGTCCGGTCTGTGCCCGGTCTGTGTCCGGTCTGTGTCCGGTCTGTGCCCGGTCTGTGCCAGGTCTGTGTCCGGTCTGTGTCCGGTCTGTGTCAGGTCTGTGTCCGGTCTGTGTCCGGTCTGTGCCAGGTCTGTGCCAGGTCTGTGTCCGGTCTGTGCCAGGTCTGTGTCCGGTCTGTGTCCGGTCTGTGCCCGGTCTGTGCCCGGTCTGTGCCAGGTCTGTGTCTGGTCTGTGTCCGGTCTGTGCCCGGTCTGTGTCCAGTCTGTTTTTTTCATGTGAGGTGAGAGAAATGTCTTTTTGTTCAGTACGAGCGGCGACCAATGAGCTCCTTCGTTTCACCTGCTCTACTCAGATAAACAAATCTGATTGGACGGTGGGAGTCAGACTCGAGACCTGACGAAGGCTTTGGGTCCAGACCACAGAACTGTAACCGAATCTGAAGCTGAATCCAAGATGGTGTCATGTTGTTTTCAGTGACGTAGCGGCCAGACTCGTCCTGTGTGAAGTTCACTGTTTCTGCAAACAAAAGAGTCAAAATCCTGTTTTCCTCGATCGTTTATTGGCACAACTTATGTCCATCCAAACTCCACAGCTTCACAGAGCGGAGGAGCCTTGTCCAGTTTTTATTCTAGATCCAAGCTGTGTTTGTGTTTGTGTTTGTGCAGGTACAGTGTGAGCTGCTCCAAGAGAGTCGGGCTGTTCCCAAACGCCAAAACCTCCATCGAGAATCTGAAGAGACAACGAGAGAACAACGCCCTCCGGAACTGCCCCCAGGAACCGCCCCGCAGGAGGGTGAGTCCCCAACAAATAAGTCCTGGTTTAGTCCTGGTTTAGACTTGCTTTTAGTCCTGTTTTAGTTCTGTTTTTAGTTCTGTTTTTAGTTTTGGTTTAGACCTGGTTTAGTCCTGGTTTAGACCTGGTTTAGACCTGGTTTAGACCTGGTTTAGACCTGGTTTAGACCTGGTTTAGTCCTGGTTTAGACCTGGTTTAGTTTCCTAGTTTAGACCTGGTTTAGTCCTGGTTTAGACCTGGTTTAGTCCTGGTTTAGACCTGGTTTAAGTCCTGGTTTAGACCTGGTTTAGACCTGGTTTAGACCTGGTTTAGTCCTGGTTTAGTCCTGGTTTAGTCCTGGTTTAGACCTGGTTTACCTGGTTTAGACCTGGTTTTTCCTGGTTTAGACCTGGTTTAGTCCTGGTTTAGTCCTGGTTTAGACCTGGTTTAGACCTGGTTTACCTGGTTTAGAGTCCTGGTTTAGTCCTGGTTTAGACCTGGTTTAGACCTGGTTTAGACCTGGTTTAGTCCTGGTTTAGACCTGGTTTACCTGGTTTAGTCCTGGTTTTAGACCTGGTTTTAGTCCTGGTCCTGGTTTAGACCTGGTTTAGACCTGGTTTAGTCCTGGTTTAGTCCTGGTTTAGTCCTGGTTTAGTCCTGGTTTAGACCTGGTTTAGTCCTGGTTTAGACCTGGTTTAGTCCTGGTTTAGTCCTGTTTAGTCCTGGTTTAGTCCTGGTTTAGTCCTGGTTTAGACCTGGTTTAGTCCTGGTTTAGTCCTGGTTTAGTCCTGTTTTTAGCAAGGAGAATATTTTAATTCAGAACTATTAATTCGGAATTAAAAAACATCATGTAAACGTGGCGTCTGTGAAACATTCCAGACAAAGCCATAACGTCTCCATGGAAACAAGAAGGCGACGGACCCCCAACAGAAAAGTTACACAGTGCAGCTTTAACTCGAGAGTCACTTTTGTGCGATAAACAGTAGAACTTTTCTTGTGATGTGTTTTCTTTGGTCAGAAGTCGGCGCCGGGGTCGTGTCCGTCTCCTCAGCCGGCGCAGGGAGAGTCCAGTCAGTGCGCCGACCTGCCGTACCCCGGAGCGTCGTCCCCGCGCTCGCCGCCCCCCCTCACGTCCCGCCGCGCTCGCCGCCCCCCTCACGTCCCCGCGCTCGCCGCCCCCCGTCACTTCCCCCGTCACGTCCCCGCTCCTGTCCCCCGCACAGCGCCTCCTCCTGGGCTCCGGCTCGCTCCCTCGCGGCCTCCTGCCCTCCGACCCCGGACGCTGGAACGTGGACCAGGTGTACGACTTCATCCGCTCTCTCCCAGGTCAGTACGAACCACGTCTGCTTTATTATTTTTATATTTTATTTGTTTAATGTGAATAAAACGGTGAAAACTTGGACCATTTTCAGTCTCAGTTTTCTGTGTTTTAGCTTAAAAAATGACAAACTCTCTCCTTTTTAATGTTGGTGGGTAAGAAACTGGTCAAAAATAACAAACACGTGGGACATTTCTTGTATAAAACTGAGACAAATCAGTGGTTTTGTATAAATCTGCAGGGACAGAGACTCAACACAAAACAGGGAAACGGGGACGTCTGGACACTCGACTTTAATCTGATCTTTTATTTTAACACAATCTGAGCAGAAAGAACCAACTCGGTTGAAACTACAACAGCTAAAATGATTTGTACGATTAGACAAAAGTTTTTCAGTTAGTCCAGGGCAGGAGAGTCAAACTCAAACTCACAGAGGCCAAAATTAAAAACTGGGACTAAGTCGTGGGACAAACTAAATATTTATTGAAAAATTTCAACAACATCTGCAGGTTTTCACTTCTTTGAGACCTTTTCTTATTAAAATAAATATTTAATAATAGTTTTGCTTAAACATTGAATCCAGAACAAACTGAATATAAAATAATAACAACATTTTAAATAAATCATGTGTCTAGAGTCGATCTGTGTGCGCTGACAGCTCTGATACAGATTTGATTTGATCTCATGGGCCAAATATAATTATATCGCAGGCCGAATTTGGCCCATAGGCCTGAGTTTGACATGTCTGGTCTAGAGTGTCCAGTCGTCCCTGTTTCCCCGGGACAGTCCCAGTTTGAGCGTGTGTCCCCTGTCCCACAGATTTATATAAAACCACTGATTTGTCCCAGTTTTATAAAAAAAATGTCCCAGTAATTTGTTATTTTTGACCAATTTATCACCCACCAACAGTAAAGAGAAACATAAACTGTCATTTGTTTAGGTAAAATACAGAAAATCTGCTTAAAAACGACTAAAACACACAAAAAAGTGACTGTACTGACTCACATGTTTGTCGTGAACGGGTCGAGTGCAGAAAAGTTTTCCTCAATTACAAACTGGATTCACTATTTTATTATCACCAACCTCCACAAACCAGGAGTGTTTAGGATTTTAAAAAATCTGATCATGTTAAGTTTGTCACTTTCACCTTTTTGTTGAAACTTAAACTCCTGAAGAGAACGAAGAACAGTCAGACTGATCACAGGAAACTGAAAACGCTCTTTAAATGTGTTTTTTCTTGAGTTTTCAGACGATCTTAAAACTTTTCCGGCAGTGTTTCCTAATGTGTGAACATTCTGCCAATACACACACATGTAGAACACCCCCAGTGTGAGGTCACTGCGGAGCATCAGGAGTTTGTTGTTGTTTGTTACACTTTTCCATCAAAGTCTCAGTGTTTTTCGTCATTATTAAAAAACACCAAGATCAGACTTTTATTTTCCAAACTGTGTCCAGCACAGTTTTTGTTTTCATGCTTTTCTAATTGTTCTAACTCGTCTTTGGTTTGGTGGATTCTTCTCGTGTGTATAAATATAAATATTTATCATTTATCATCATTTTACTTGAGTTAAGCAGCAGTTTGTGGAAAAAAAAGAGAAGAAAAGCACAAAAATACAGGAAGCAGCGCGGAGCTGTAAAACAAAAGGTCTCTTTGTCATCAACGTCTGTGTGTGTGTGTGTGTGTCTGTGTGTGTGTGTGTGTCTGTGTGTGTGTCTGTGTGTGTGTGTCGTGTGTGTGTGTGTGTGTGTGTGTCTGTGTGTGTGTGTGTGTGTGTCTGTGTGTGTGTGTGTGTGTGTGTGTGTGTGTGTGTCTGTGTGTGTGTGTCTGTGTGTGTGTGTGTGTGTGTGTCTGTGTGTCTGTGTGTGTGTGTGTGTGTGTGTGTGTGTGTGTGTGTCTGTGTGTGTGTGTGTGTGTCTGTGTGTGTGTGTCTGTGTGTGTGTGTGTGTGTGTGTGTGTGTGTCTGTGTGTGTGTGTGTCTGTGTGTGTGTGTGTGTGTGTGTGTGTGTGTGTGTGTGTGTGTCTGTGTGTGTGTGTGTGTGTGTGTCGTGTGTGTGTGTGTGTCTGTGTGTGTGTGTGTGTGTGTGTGTGTCTGTGTGTGTGTGTGTGTGTGTGTGTGTGTGTGTGTGTGTGTGTGTGTGTGTGTGTCTGTGTGTGTGTGTGTGTGTGTGTGTGTGTGTGTGTGTGTCTGTGTGTGTGTGTGTCTGTGTGTGTGTGTGTGTGTCTGTGTGTGTGTCTGTGTGTGTGTGTGTGTGTGTGTGTGTGTCTGTGTGTGTGTGTGTGTCTGTGTGTGTGTGTGTGTCTGTGTGTGTGTGTCGTGTGTGTGTGTGTGTGTCTGTGTGTGTGTGTGTGTGTGTGTGTGTGTGTGTGTCTGTGTGTGTGTGTGTGTGTCTGTGTGTGTGTGTGTGTCTGTGTGTGTCGTCTGTGTGTGTGTGTGTGGTCTGTGTGTGTGTCTGTGTTTGTGTGTGTTCTGTGTGTTTGTGTGTGTTGTGTGTGTTGTGTGTGTGTTCTGTGTGTGTGTGATTGTTTGTGTGTGTGTCTGTGTGTGCGTTTGTGTGTGTGCGTTTCTGTGTGCGTCGCGTGCGTCGCGTGCGTCGCGTGCGTCGCGTGCGTCGCGTGCGTCGCGTGCGTCGCGTGCGTCGCGTGCGTCGCGTGCGTCGCGTGCGTCGCGTGCGTCGCGTGCGTCGCGTGCGTCGCGTGCGTCGCGTGCGTCGCGTGCGTCGCGTGGTGTTTAAATAAAAAACTCTGGTGTTTTGTGGCACAGGTTGTCTGGACATCGCAGAGGAGTTTCGTTCTCAGGAGATCGACGGTCAGGCTCTGCTGCTGCTCAAGGAGGATCACCTCATGAGCACCATGAACATCAAACTGGGACCTGCGCTCAAGATCTTTGCTCAGATCAACCTCCTCAAAGACTCCTAGTGCAGCGCCGCAGCTCCAGGACCTCCACCTGAGACCTCCACCTGAGACCTCCACCCAGACCTCCACCAGACCTCCACCTGAGACCTCCACCCAGGACCTCCACCTCCACCTGAGACCTCCACCTGAGACCTCCACCCAGGACCTCCACCTGAGACCTCCACCCAGGACCTCCACCTGAGACCTCCACCCAGGACCTCCACCTGAGACCTCCACCCAGGACCTCCACCTGAGACCTCCACCCAGGACCTCCACCTGAGATCTCCACTGGACCCAGAACCTCCACAGACCAGGGACCTCCTCCATCCAGGGGCCTCCACGCGCCTCTGGAGTAGAGATCGACTGATATTGTGTTTTTTTTTCATGGCCAGTGCTGAAATTGACAGTTCAGAACCTGGAGAAAACCATGGTCCATGAGCTCTGCTGATGTTTTTGGGCCTATTTTGATCATTTTCTTCAAATTTTGTTCTTTAAAGAGTCACTAAACATCAAAATCACTTCTTTTCACCTATTATTATTTGTGTAAATGTGTCTAAAATAGAAGTGTATCTCTGTCCTTATTTTGGCATTTCAGCGCAGATTTGTTAAAAATCCCACACACTGTTTTACTTGCAAAATGTGAATAATTTTCACATTTATTAAGACATATGTCCTAATAAATGTCACATTTTGCAGTAAGACGATGTGCTGGATTTTTCTCAGTTCTTGTGCTGCTCCCGTCTTAAATAATTGATGTGCCAAGTTCTTCTTTTTGTGCAAATTTGTTAAAAATGTGACTTTTGGGTCAAAGTCGTGTTTGTTTCGGCCTCTTTAGCCTTTCATAGTTCCTGGTCTGTGACGTGTGTGTTGTGGTGTGTGGACGTTCCAAAACCCAAACTGTGCTTGTTTATGTGCAGAAGACACAATGTGAAAAGAGTTATTTTACATCAGATGGAACTTTAAACAAATACAAACTGGGAACAGGTTGAGGAGCCGTGGAGCCTCTACGTGAACTTTACTGAGTGTTTTCTGTCTCTTTTGACATGATTCAAGTCACAACATGGAACATTTCTGGCAAAACAAGAACATCTCCGTGGAGACGAGCAGGTCGCGCACTCACCCAAACCCCCTTTCAGAGCCGTGTCACGTTTTGTGCCGTTTTCTCTTCGACTTTTGAAGCAGCAGGAAAAATCTCTCGGTCTGTGTTGGAGATTTCAGGCCGAACAAAAAATCTAAAAAGTGCAAATGTCAGTCCGTCTCTGGTCTGAAGGTTCTTGAAGGTTCTTGAAGGTTCTTGAAGGTTCCTGGAGAGTCCCCGTGGTCCAGGTTCGGTTCTGCGCCGTTAGAACCCGTCACACTGTTAGAACCTTGATTGTAAATGAACTTTTTGAAGCGTCTGAAGGAGAATCTTCTCTGGACTCTTTATTCTGTTTTACTTTTGTTTAATTCAGCGGAAGATTTCGTTAAGTTTATTTTTCTATTGTAAATCCAGACGCCCCGGATCAGAACCAGGGTCTGAACAAAAACAGGTCCACGAAGAACCACGGTCTAGACTGTCTGAGACCTCAGACGGTTTTGATCCTGCTTTTGTCCTGGTCTAGTCATGTTATGGTTCTGATTTAGTCCTGGTTTAGTCCTGCTTTGGCCCTGGTTTAGTCCCGGTCAAGTACTGTCTTAGTCCCGGTCTAATCCTGGTTTATTCCTGGTCTAGTGACTGTCTAGTCTTGGTTTACTCCTGGTCTAACCCTGATTTAGTCTTGGTTTAGGCCCAGTCTAGTCCTGATCTAGTCCAGGTGTAGTTCTGATTTAGTCCTGCTTTGGCCCTGGTTTAGTCCTGGTCTAGTCCCACCCTAATCTTGGTTTATTCCTGATTTACTTCTGGTCTCATCCTGGTCTAGTCTTGGTTTAGTTCTGGTCTAAACCAGGACTAGACCAGAACTAAACTGGCTCTAATCCTCCTGGTCTCATCCTGGTCTAGTCCCGGTCTAGTCCCGTTTTGATCCTGCTTTAGTCCTGGTTTAGTCCTGGTTTAGTCCTGGTTTAGTCCTGGTTTATTCAGAGGGTGAATTTAGATCCAGGTCCGTTTCAGGATCAGGATTTTAAACACAAACAAAACAGTGAAATAAAAACTCCAGGATCACGTGGACCAACATTTTCAGACCAGAACCAGGCCGAGGCTCAGGGCGACAGGTGCAGGGCGACAGGTGCAGGGCGGCAGGTGCAGGGCGGCAGGTGCAGGTCGACAGGTGCAGAGCGATGGAGCCGGAAACGCGCCCGTGCTCACTTCCTGTTTATGTCCAAGACCAAATATTTGTACCAGTAAAAGAAATGGTTGTTTCTGTTTCTGTTTGTGTTTGTGTCTGAGCTCAAAAAATGTGAATCGAATCGTCTTTTAACACTTCAGGGTTTGTTTTTGTTTTTTTTAATGTTCTGTTTGTGAATTAAAACTGATCTAAAATAAAATCAGTTTATGTTTTCATAGATCGAGCGTCCAGACTTTTTCATCAAGGCTCAAATATAAAAACAGAAAAAGTGTTGTTTTAAAATCAACTCTCACAGAGTCAGTTTGAACATTTTCTCAGAGTTTATCTGAGTCACTCTGTTCTAGAGTTAATTTAACATTTGTGTAAATGTTCATGAAGTAAAACTGGACCAAAGTTCCTGTTTAACCCCAAATCCAGAGTTATATGAACGTTTACAAAGTGTTATCTGTTTACACTCTAGAGTTATCCTGATTTAACTCAACAACACACACAACAATACTGTAAGAAACTGAATTAACACTAGAGGAAGTTAAATTCACTTCACCCATATCAACTCTGGGGAATAACCTCAACTCAAACCCCCATTTAACTTTCAAATAGTTAAAATAACACTTTTTAAATGTTAAAAACAACTCTGAAATATTTCACCCTCCAGTTTTTGCTCTGTGGTGTCAGTGCAGAGTTTTCAGACATGAGAGTTAGAAAAGTTTAGAATGAGCCTCCAGAACTTTAGAGCTTTATTCAGGCTTAAATGTTGAGCAGGAGTTTGTCCGTCTGCCCCCTGTGGCCCGGAGGAAAACTCCGCCTCAGCGTCTTGACGGATCAACACAGAGTCTGGGTCCAGAAGGAAAAACTCCATTCACTTTTCACAAAGACTTTTTAAAAAAATCCAATATAAAGAGTTCAGAGACAAACCAGCTCCGTGTTAAAAACAATCATATTATGGAAAATAATTAAGTCCAAAAAGCTGATTTAAAAAATGAGATTCAGGGAAAAGTTTAAATAATTTAGATTCTAAAGTTTCACAAACAGATGTTTGATTAAAGGTTTCATGTTTTGAGCTGATTGGCCCTGAGCTTTAAAATGTTTAATATTAATTATTTTAAACTCTGTGAGTGGAAGTGTCGTCCCGTCAGCAGGAGGCAGGTGTCGCTGTTGAGCTCCATGTGTCACGAGCCACAGGAGCCACACTCAAGTGAATTAAACTTCATTTATTTCACACGTTTCACAGCTTCAGTGACGTGACATTTGCTCACGAGGAACAAATATCTCAGGTTTTTCTTCAAACTCTGAGCTCAGAGCAGATGGACCCGAGCGGCTCCAGGACCGGAGCTTCACACAGACATCCTGACCTCGTCCTCGCTCCTGGAGCCCTGGAGTGAGAGCAACAGGTTAGATCTGCCTCAGCCAATCACAGAGCAGCAAGAAGAAGCCACGCCCACAGGTTTGGTTCATTTAATTTAGTCATTCAAATAGAAAAAGCTCATTCAACAGCAGAACACGAGAGCAGAGCTGAACAGAACAGTGCACAAGGCTCGGGCCCCTGAGGGCCACAGCTCCACACGTCAGACCAAAAACTCACTCCAACATAAAGCCCCACCCCCAAACAACCCCGCCCCCAACTGCCCCCAACCAACCCCGACCCCCCCGCCCCGGACGAGGCTCCGCCCTCACACCACTGCACACAGGAAGAGAGGAAACCAACAGAACCAACGGTGAAAAATCAGAACGAATCATTTGTGCTTGTCGACGTTACAAAGTGAAGAGTTCAGTGTCGTGCTCCTTCATTTGAACCTTTCCACACAACAAGAGGAAGCCAGTGAGAGACAGCAGTCCGGTCCGGTCTGGTCTGGTCCGGTCCGGTCTGGGCGTTTATACCTTACTCCTGAAGAGCGGCTTGGCCCCGGGGCCACAGTACTCGTTGTAAATGAGTTTGAAGAGGAACAGATGGAAGAGCGTGATGAGGGAAGCCACACTGAACCAGAAGAGGAAGGGCAGACCCGGGTACCGGTTCGCCATGTGCTCCTCGTGGGCCAGGATGGCCTTGAGGTGCAGCGTGTGGCGCAGGTCCTGCAGGTGGCGCAGGTCGGTGGAGATGTAGAGCAGGGGGGTGATGGGCTGCGTCACCATCACGGGGAACGTGTGTCCTTTGAGCTCGGAGGTGAGCTCCACGGGCTCGTTCATGCATCCGGCCTCGCAGGCGTAGAGCTTCACCGGTTTCTCCTGCGGCTTCACCGACACGTGCAGGAAGGGCTTCCCCTCCACGTCCAGCAGCACGGCCAGGCTCAGCAGGTCCTGGTTGTAGTGGATCCCCCGCAGGGCGTAGCTGTTGTGGAGCACGTCGGGGTCGGCCTGGAACTGCAGGTGGTTCTCGGTGAACTGGAGCCCGCCGAAGCTCAGCACCATGGCCTGGACGACGCCGTGGGCCCCGGCCGCCACCAGCGCCTTACAGCCGCGCTTCTGCAGCGTCAGCGTCCACAGCGTCACCAGCTGCAGGATGTGGGCGGCGCTGCTCAGGCGCTCGGGCCACAGGTTCTCGGCGTGCATGGTGGCGTGGCCGCTGAAGCAGTGGTCGGCGTAGTTGAGGCTGGACTCGAGGCGCGAGCGCTCGTCGGGGCCCAGGCGCAGGTCGAGCAGAGGGGCCGGACTCGCGCTCAGAGTGTAGAACAGAGTCGAGTTCACCGTGCGGCTCGACGGAGTGTGAGAGTCTGTGATCCGCCTCATCTCCACACCTGCACACAACACACACACACACATAAACACACAACACACACACATAAACACACAACACACACACATAACACACACATAACACACACATAACACACATAAACACACAACACACACACATAAACACACACACACACACAACACACACAAACACACACACACACACACACACACACACACACACACACACACACAACACACAACACACACACAACCACATATAAACACACAACACACACACATAAACACACAACACACACATAAACAACACAACACACACACATAACACACAACATATAAACAACACACACACATAAACACACACACACACACATACACACACACACAACACACACACACATAAACACACACACACACACACATAAACACACAACACACACACAACCACACATAACACACACAACACACACAACACACACACATAAACACACAACACACACACACACATAAACACATAAACACACAACACACACACATAAACACACAACACAACACACACACACATAA